AAAAAAACAAAAAAAAACAGGGGGTTGCAATGAAGAAGTGACTACCAGTTAGGAGGAGACTGCTGATAAAATTTAATCACTGGCTTAGAAACTTACAATCTTAATAGCATAAGAATGTGATGCTTCTGAAGAGGTATCATACAGGAAGATGTGAGCAACAGAAATGGCATGAAGCTTTCCTCCTCAGGTGCACAACTTGCATAACAGTAAAAGAAAAAGAGGTTAAAAAATGCTTGTTAGAAGCCATACTGCTGAAATCCCAGTTTAAAAGTGCCAGAAGGACCTGAGGACATTTGCCAATTACCACACATCATGAGTCAGGAATCTGATACAGTCCTAGGGTACAGTAATAAGGCACTTCACAGTAGAGAAGGGCATGTAATTGCCATTGAGGAGGACACAGTAATATACACCCCTTATTCACCATAACAGGGAGCTTAAAGCAGAGCAAGTACACAAAACAGTACTAAAAAGAACAGGATAAAGTGCTTTTCTCAGAAAACGAAGAATTAGCTTTTGATTGAATAGGGCTCAGATTACCTTCTATACATGGTTTAAATTGTCCCTGTCCAAAAAAAAAAAAAAAAAAAAAAAAAAAAAGAAAGAAAAAAGCAGCTGAGCTCATCACTTTCTGCAGAAAGTCAGAGGAGGGACAAGGGAAACTAGCGCAGGTCTCCCTCTGCCCATGCCAAACTACCCCCAGTACTCATTGGTGCTGTTTGCATGTAATCGATGCCAGTGATGGGGAAGCCCTCAGGCCGGTCCTCGGTGAAACACTGGGAAGCCCTCCAACATGGTTTAGGTTAGATATTAGGAGGAAACTCTTCACACAGAGGGTGGTGACACACTGGAACAGGCTGCCCAAGGAGGTTGTGGATGCCCCTGTATCCCTGCAGGCATTCAAAGCCAGGCTGGATGTGGCTCTGGGCAGGCTGGTCTGGTGGTTGGCGACCCAGCACATAGCAGGGGGTTGAAACTGGATGATCATTGTGGTCCTTTTCAATCCAGGCCATTCTATGAGTCTATGGCTCCCCTCCTTTCAGGACAAACTGCAAGGAGGAGACTAAGGGTGTGATGAGGAAGTCTCACCCAACTTGCTGGGTTGAACATTTTCAACAGGCTGAAGCCTCTCAGCAGAAGACCAGTGTCTCTGGAAATACCAGGTATTTCAAGGACAAAATTGCTCTTGAACCAGTTTTCTTCCCAAAGGCACAACTTGCTTGCTCCCACATGCAAACTGAACAAGACACCAGACCAACTCTTTCAGTTCTACCCACCGAGTTCTGAAGAAATTTCCAGGTCAGCGTAGCTGCTGGAAATTGATTTTCCAACAGAGCAACAAACACTCCAGCAGCTTGAAATACAAAATTAAAGCCATTCTTTCACAGATTCGGGAAGCACAATTATCATTTGACATTTGAAAATGTCTTTGCAAATATACGATGAACGCAGCACTACTAACACAGCCAAACTTTGGTTCAGCACTAACCAATCCCTCAGTACCCCAACACAACAGAAATGAAGTTACTATTTACTGAAATAAACTTTCTGCACCTTAAAGAAAAGTGGTATTTTCCAATAGACCACTGATCCTGATGTAAATAGGATAAGAAAGTCTGAAAATCACTTTTTCCTTTTTAAATGAAAAAGAACAGTTAAGTGTTTTCAGTGTACTGACGGGTTTCTGTATCAGTTCAGCATCTGATAAGCAGATGCAGTGTAAGCCACTAGACAGTGCTCTTCCCTGGGAAGTGGTGACAAAAACTTTTCATCTCATACCTTCAGTTTTTTGCACTTGAAAACATACAACTATTTAAAGAGTATGTTTAAATCATACTTAGTTAACATGGAACATGGGTAATTTACTTTGCTTCCCCTCCACAAGCACTTTACTCACAATGCCACAGCAGCAGTAAGCATCCTCCCAATTATAAGCAACATGTTTTATGAAGTATTCCTACACAGATTATGGCTGAAGACTCTTCCAGTTCAAGTTTAAAGAGATTTCTTCTTAGCTATGCTTTCAAACTTATTTCAACTAGGATCTAACTAGAACTCCCAATATCCTTCCTGAACAGCACAATTCTGATCCGCGTGTTAAACAAGATGACCATTTTCAGCTTTGTCTGCACATTTCTCCTACAGTACATTATGTTCCTTTACCATCAATTTTAATGTTTTTCATCTTCACTCTACCTCCAAACATCCACTCTCCTGTATGATTTTCTTCGTAAGCTTCCACCTTATGAGAATCTTATCTTCAGTCACAGGTCAGAGCTTTCTCTTTCCATTTGAGATCACATTTAAACTCCCTCCTAGAACATGGGAATCAAACACCAACAGACAGCAAGCAAAAATCAAGCTTTCTTAAGGGCCATTTCCACCACAGTCCTTAGCCTGATATTGTCAGTGCTGATGAGATGGTAGCACCCAAGCATAAGGACCAGTGCACGTCATACCAAGGTCCATAACCCCACTGCTGAACAATGCTCAGAAGCCTTTTCAACTATTTTAAATGATAAAGACACTTGAATGCTGTCTTAAAAAACAGCCAAATGCAAGGTCATGCATTTGTAAAACACGAGCCCTACCAAAGGAAACAGAATTGTATCACAGATTGCAATGACATTAAGGACTTTGGGCAGCACTGAAGAGGCCACATGAACATTAATTCCTAACAAGAGTCTGCAACAACAACAAAAAAAAAAACCAACCTAATGGGAGTCTTGGAAAGGAATATCAAGGAGAAAGAGAGTACTGCCTTTTTATATAGCATCAGTGAGATCAATAAAGGACTGTCACCCTTCCACTCAGGGGCCAACAATTTATAACAAGTACGATCATGGACCTGAAAAAAATGCCTTACAGTCTTTTAAGGGAAAAATGGATTACTTAGTTATCACAAAAAATAATCAGTGAAAATCCAGTTTTTCTTAATATCTAAGCAAGCAAACATACTTAAAGATACAACTACTGCAAGTTTAGCCAGAGAAACTTTTGTTCAAGTCTGACCTCATTTTAGCAAGCGGAGATAATCCATAAAAACTAACAATTAACAAATATAGCAATCATCTCTTGTTAAAACTGGTTAACAAAGTTATTTTAATCAGAGATCGTAAATTCAGGGCCATCAATCATTAGACAAAACTCTAAGCCTGCATGTCTGAGGTGCCCAAACAAAGTATTCCTTACTGTCCTCCAGCACTGGAGCTGACATGACAGAATGGTGAACAAACATTCAAGACCACATTACATTCATTACAAACTTCACTTCCAGCACAATCTGATTACTATAAAACACAACTGCTTGCTCACAGAGCTCAAAGTCAAAACAAAATCGAAACAAGCTGGCACCAGGTGATCCCCTTCCCCCAAAACCACACATAAATCACAGGTGATCATTGCACAGTGCTTACCACACTGCCAGCTAACAGGGATTTCAGGGGTCAGGGGCAGGAGAGGAAGCCAGGTTGCCAAGAAACACATTGCCACAGGGACCTGACATGCCCCAAACCTGCAGGACAGTGTTTGTGCAGGGGGAATTGACTTATCCTTCCCTCTGCATCCTGCTGACCAGTCTCTCCACTGCATGACGCTGAGCCCAAAACTGGGGGGAAAGGTTGCATCTCCTTCCCAGGCCACCTCCCTTACCCATAGCAGATGACTGCTCCCTTCAGCCTCCCCAAAGACTGGTGTCTCAATGCATCCCTCCTACCTGCTCCAAACAAGTTCAGCATCTCACCAGACCTGCATGCACATCAACCCCTCCCTACATACCCCTCAGGGCAGGTGCTCACCCCTTTCCCCACCTGGCTGATCCCCCACCATGCACACAGCCCCTTTAAACCTGTTGACCACCTCCTGCTCCTAAAAATCCTAAACTGCTGACCACCCCTCCAGAACACAGGACACCCTCCAGACATGCTGAGCACCACTCCCACACACAGCCCCCACAAACCCTACTGACTATCTCTCCCCACATACACAGTTTCCCAAAACTTCTGACCAACATTTTCCCTCAGATTAACCTCATCCCCCCGGACATCCTCAAGCATAATAAACACTCCCTCCCACACAAACTGCCCCCCCTTATTGAGTACTCCTCCCCACAGACACAAACCCCCAAAATCTGACTTCCTTTCCCACAGATGCATCAGCCCAACACCTATGGGCTTACGGAAATCCTTCCTCACATACTCCCCCCAAATAAACTGACATTCTCATCCACACAGCCCCCCAAACCTGCTGAGGATCCATCACTATATAGTCTTCAGACCACCATTCCCCTTCACACACAGCCTCTCCAATACTAACCATCTCATTCCCATAAATGCAAAACTCCTGAATGCTGATGAGCACCCCTCCCCACACACACAGCCCCTCTGCCCCCAAAATCTTTGCGCCACCACACCCACACTCATGCAGTCCTCCCCCCAAAAGAACTTAAGACCACCCCCCTCTCCACACGCAGCCCACCCAGAACCTCTGGGCCACCATCCCTTCCATATAGAGCCTTTAGAACTCCTGCGCCCTCCCAAGGGCACACTCCCCCATAAGTGACCGCTCTCCTCCAAACACACATCCTCCCCACACTGACCATCTTCCCCATTCTCGATCCCCTAATTCTAATCCTCTCCCACACACACAGTCCCTGAAAAGCTAATCGCTCACCCTATCAACACAGACCCATCCCCAAAACGACCATCTCCTCCATTCTAAGACCCTCAAACTTAACCCCCTCCTGCACCCACAGCCCCCACACACTCTTACCATCACGCTCCCACAGACATCCTCCCCAAAACCCTCTGACCACACACCTCGCCCTCAAAAGCCCCCCATCCCCTCAGATCCACCCCCCCCTCCCCACACCAGGCCTACACCAGGCCTAGCCCGCCTCACCCTCCCAACCAGGCCCAAACACTCACTCTGCGATCCTTCCCGCCTCCTCCCCTCACCCCCACAAGGCCCTGTCAGCACGCCCAGCACGAGCCCGGACTCACTCGGGCAGATAGGTAGAGGAGAAGCTGCTCCAGCGATGCAAAGTGTAACCCAGCACCCGGCTCTCGGGGCCCACCGGCCCCGCAGCCGCCATCTTGTTGTCAGCAGCGGCCGCCGCGGCCCCGGCAGCGACCGCGGGAGGGGCGGGGCCGAGCTCTTAAAGGGACCGCGCGGGTGGCGGGGCAGGGGCCGTGGGGCGCCCGAGTTGGGCTGTGGTGTGATGTGAGGGGGACTTTATAGGTCGTGAGGGTTGTGGTGCGTCTGTGAGGGCTGCAGTGGGTTATTAGGAGCTGTAGGGCTTGGGGTGGGGTGTAATTTGTGGCTGCATGGTTGTGTGGCTGGGCTATAGGGTGTGGCTTGGTGGGGGGCTGCGGTGGGTTTGTGGAGCTTTGAGCGGCACGTTGGGCTCTGGGGGTGTAATTTGGGGGCTGTGTTTGTTTTGGGTGCCCCGTAGGACTGTAGTGAGCTGCATGAAGATGTCCTGTGGGGCTGTACTGGAGCGTTGGGGTTGTAGGACCTGAAGTGGGATGTAATTTGGGGTTGTAGTGGTGTGAGGCTATGCCTATGGGGCTGTGGGACTGTGAAGCCCTGTGGGGTTGCATTGGGTAGTGGACACTGTAGAGACTGGGATAGGACATAGTTTGTGTCTGCAAGGCTGTACAGGGGGGATAGGACATAGATTGTGTCTGCAAGGCTGTACAGAAACTGGGGGATCCATCCCAAGTGGCTTTAGGGGGATGCCCTGCAGGGCTGCAGTGGATTGTAGGGTCAAGGGGATGCTCCACGAGCTGTGTGGGGAAGGGGCTGAAGCAAAACCCAAGCATGATGTGACTTCGTCCAGCTCCTGCGCTGATCCCTGTTGTGAGTAGCTCAGCTCTTTTCTCTTAGTCTGTTTTATTATTTGTATTTCACCACATAGCTCTGTACTTTGTAAGTATCAGAAGCAGCTTGTTTTGACAGTTCTGTCAATTTCAACATGCTTTTGTTGTTGTTTTCCAAAAAAGGAACTGGAGCAATCAAAGTCACCATAAATAACTGTAAATATATAAACAAGAGTTAGTAATGAGTGAAATAAAAATGAGCTAATGGAGTGGTACCCAGATTTAATGCTTGACCGACAATTTGCAAGCAACTGGAAATTCAGTGGAAGGTACTATAATTATTGAGGTTATTGGGCTTCTTTTCTTGGCTTATTGTCTCTTTTCTGGTCCATACCACAGCTCATCTGAATGTTCCATGGAAAGGTTACCTGGAGATCCAGACTGTGGGAAGGAGCCCGAGTGGTTTCCCATGCCTTGTGCACTGTCATATTTAATAACTTTTTTCTTTTTTTTTTTTCCTTCTGAATTCTACTGAATAACATGTATTTAATCACTTCATCTATTGCTATCAGTGCTGCTGAATGGTTCTCCAGCAGTGCTAAGACCTCTTCAGGTTTACACTGCAGTCCCTGGTTTAGAGGGATGCTCACATTGTGATCTCTGTTTGATGCCATGATGTTTTTCAGTGCTTTTTCCTGCCACATGAATGGACCTGAAATCCCAAACACACGTGTGATTTCCAAGTGTGTAAATTGGAGATTTATTGATGGTTTCTCTGACTGAGGTTACTGTATGGGGGTTTGTTTGTTTGTTGGTTTGATTTTTGGTTGAAATAAAATTGTTCCATCCAAAACCCCCACCAAAGTGAAGGGATGACTTGAGGAATCCCTGGAGCGGTTTTTGGATGCTTGAGAATTAAGAGGAAATATTTCAAGATCAGGGACAAAACCAGAACTAAAATAACAAGAAAAACACCAATAAGGTGACAACAAATAAACAGCTGTCAGTTGGAAATGACAGATTGGAGGGATGTTATCAGACAGGACAGTAAAATGCCTGGCTAGATTAAATTAACACAAGGATTTTTTTTTCCGCCATTTATTTTAGGAAAGCAAGTGAGAGTGCTGCAACAAAATCTGGCTGAGGATGAAACATTCTTGCAGCAGCCTTGGAGGCTAAACCTCAGCTGAGGAGGAACAAAAGTGAGGAGGAACAGCAAGTGCTTTGTCTCAAGACCCTTTTTTGGGACCTGAGGGAATAGTGCTTCTACTGCAGCAGCACAGCAAAAACTTGCATGTGAGGTACCATATTCCACAGCTCTACCTTTGCTGCTGCACTAACAAGGTTTTTTGAAGTTTGAGTTCTTAATGTGGCATTTAAAATTTCACTTACCCAAAGCATCCGTTTTTTTGTTATTTTTTTCTTTTTCTTTTTTTTTTTCCCCCTGCGATTTACCACAAGAATATTAAAGGAAATAGTTTACTGTGGATCTTGCTAATAATATACTCCCTCCACCAGGAGAAAATATTCTACCTTGGCATTTGGAGCCTCACTAACAAGCAGCCAGAGAGGAGCGATGCCATATAAAACTGTAACCTCTAAATATGAAATTTTGGAGATCGCAACGAGCGGTGAGTGCCAGCTCCATGCCGGCAGCAGGGAGGAGGCAGAGGGAACGCCATCAGCTCGCTACTCGCTGCTGCACAGAGCACATAACCCCAGGAGTTTCTCTGCCCGATGTCCTGTTACCACTTGAATCAAGATGTGAATGCCAAGCCAGCTTATTTTTAGCATGATTTGGACCTAAAGAAGCAAACGCTGGTGAAATACATAGTACTGACAGCTCTGGAAAATCTTTATTCATCTGCAGCACAGGAAGCAGGGAAGGATGCAAGAAAGCAAAGCAATCCCAAGCTACAAACGAAGTTTCCCTAGCACTGCACAGATCCTGGCAGTAGCTGGGAGAGGGTTTTTCCACGCTAAGAGCAGGCCTGGCACGGCAGGGAGGAGTGCGGTGTGCCGCAGATTTGGACAGCCTGCAAGCCTCCAGCTGAGCTGACTGCGTCTGTTGGAGCTCAACTGCAGCAGCAGCGGGGCTGTAAAAATGGGAGAGACTCGGAAAACTTGAGTATCTGAGCCCTGCTCTGCTAAGCTCTGTGAGTTTACTGTGTTAATACAACATTGGCTCTGTGCAACTGGGCGGTCCAATGGTACTGATGCTGCCCTGTACCACCTCTAGTAGTCACTCAGACCCTCTGCTCTGTGGAACAACCCAAAAAGAGGACACTTATGACACAACCATCATGCCAAGCAGGCATGTTCCTAGCCCCGTCTCTTGGGACATTGCTGAAATCCTCCAGTGCCTTTAGGCATCTGCAGGACCTGAGCTGGCTGGGGACTTGTAGATCCCTGCAGGCAGCAGTTGGCTGGAGTGGAGATGGGGCCATGAAGGGGAGCAGAGTAGCAAAAATGGGTCCCTTTGGCTTTTGGGGCACAGCTAGGAGGTCCCTGGATGTGTGCCGGGAACAGTAGCTGGGGTTGTTGAAGGTGGACCACAGGAGATGTCCCTGCATTTCTCTGCCAGGAGGATGCACGCACAGTGTTAACACGCTTGTCATCAGTAGATCTGAAATCTAACCACGGACAGCTCAGGGATCTGACAATTGTTTGTGTCTGCCTCGAGACAAATATCTCATTGCCCCCTTTGCAAATTTGCTCCTCTGCTGCGTGTGTGTTTCGAGTTTCCTCATGCAAAACCTGCGTGGGTGTTTGGATATGTAATGAGCACATAGTTCAGGATGAAAACAAGTTGCCTGGAAGAGCCAAGTAACGCCAAAAAAATGAAAGCAATACAAACAACAACATGGCACACAGCCATACCAGCTAGACCGTGGGCCAGCCGGATCTCACGTACTCTCCGGAGCTGCAGAGCCGATCAGCTGTTGGAAAAAGAGACCTTTAAAGACAAGTGAGAGGAAATAGCATTGGCAGTGCAGGTCACAGCATGTTTCCTTCCAAAGCAGGACAGAGCCAAGGACATGAGGCAGAGCTGTAACATTCGGGGTCTCATTGCTCAGCAAGTCAAAAACCTCCAGTGGGTTGTAGTTGTGTAAGCGCCTATTGTTTTCTGAGCAGAATCAGAGCACTGGTCTGATTGGGTATTGTCACAACAGATTTTGGCAATGCTTGCTCACCTAAGTGAGCTCCCTCTGCAAAACGAAGCCCTGGGTTTAACTCAGTGCTCCGTGTTGGGGAAATAAACCTGCCTCTCTGACTGGAGAGTATCTTCCAACACGTCCCATAGCAACTTTGAGGAAAAGCACCATTAGCCTATGGACCAGAGCAATTCCAAAAAATTCCCTGAAGTGGCCTCACTAATTATTATCTCATTTTGGTAACGTGAATGAGGAAAAAATAGTGGTGAAGTTGTTTTGAATTGCATTTTCTGCAGAGCCTGAATGAATTTCTGTATAGAAAGGGGGGTGAGAGCAGGCCTCAAAGACAGGTTACGTAATTTTTCCCTTGCCCTCATCCATTTGGAGCAAGGGACCATCTGTACCTCCTTATAACACAGAGAAACAGTACTTCTTTCAGCCTAAGAAAATAGGTCTAGTTGTGTAGACTCTGAGCTAAGCATCTGCTCTAGCCCATTCACTTAAATACCTGTCTGAGAACTCTTCACCAGCTCTTAGAGCACCTGTTTATTGGTTAAAGGCTCGAATCAGTGAAAGCTCACTGGCAATCTGGAAGGTTGAAAGGGGCCTTAAATACCAGAGCTTCCATATGCATATTGGCATTTTTCTTTGCATAAATGCCAGCTTTAAAAGGCTTGTTTTACAAAGCACAAACACAGTTCTATGATGATTTTTTTTATTTTTTTTTTACATCAAGGTCAGTAACTCGGCTTCATTCATCAGTCTCCAGCTGCAAACATGTCCCAGACAATGGAGGAGAGTGTATGTGAGCCAGGAAGTGCCGTTTAAGGGGATGTGAGTGGCTCTGAACTGCACTGGGGAAAGAGGATCTTGGTACCCTTGTGCACTTGGCCCTTCACGAACTGAAATAGGGCGCTTGAGGGCAGGAAAAGCTGCTTAGGTGGCACAAATAACACTCGCATTTGGTGAGCTTCAGTAAAAGGCACCTCTCAAATGTCACCGCTGTGCTGTCGACTCTGGTGTGATGCAGCCAACATTGTGCTCCTCTCCACAAAGGCAGTGAGCGCTCTTAGGAAGCAGACAAGATAATCCCAGCTAAAAATACTTATTCTTCCCCTGGGAGGTGCATGCATCCTGTGCACGGTGCTCTCACGGGGACGTGCTTGCACACCCAGTGCACTCTGCTCATCTTTCACTTCCGTGCTTCTCCTCCTTCCAAGTGAAGTGCTTGGGCATTGTGATTAGTGCTCTGAATCACCCAGAGAGGATGCTCCGTCCTGTGTTTCAGATGCAAAATGTGCCTTGGAATTCAATTGTTGCTATAGTGCTGTAATTACACGTTTTATGGAGTAGTTAGTCAGAATGGCTAGAGCTCTTGTTATTAGGCTTGGACTCCTTCTGCTTTATTTTAAAGACCTCTCTGATAAACATCTACTCTCTGCATTAAAAAATTTTTTTCAGCTTTTGTGTCCCTTCAAACGTAGCCACAATTCATGGCTGAAGGAAAATAGGTCCCCAGCCATGTGGAGGGACAGAGTTTGTAGCATGCTTTTTGCAACATAGGGGTTGTGGTGCTCTGGCACTGGGTGCTCCAAAATGTTCCTCAAAGTCAGCTGCAATGACACCAGCTGAGTACTTCCAGGATTCGGGAGTTCTTGAGCACTGATCTCAGCGACTTTGCTGTCTGTGGTTTGGAGAGGACTTGCACAGCCTGCTCAGGGCACCCATACCAACCAGGATCCTCTTCTTCCCTTCAGCAGTATGGAGGAAGTGGACTCTTCGGATGCTTCTTCTAGAAGATGGCAGCCTACCACAATGGGACACGGTTTGGTGAGGATGAATCCCTGTACCAAGGTGTTGCTGTTCTTATGCCCACTCTAGAAGAAGCTCAGCAGTATTGCAAGCAACTGAGATAAGCAAGATAAGCACCATCCTTGACATCCCTACTCTGGTCAGCAGGGATACTCACCACCCTACACCATAGGGTTGGCCTTTCCCCTATTAACCACATTTTCTGCCCAGGTTTCCCTATCTGGAGAGTGGAGCTAACTGCTTAATTGCCTACTTTCTAAGGAGTCAGGCAGGATAATTAGCTAATGTTTGGGTAATGCGTCATAGGGTAAGAGTGCTAAGTAGTATTACTGTCAGCAACACAGTGGGAAGTGAAGAACTCAATCTTGTTTTTCAGTCGGGAATGTCACGGTCTTCCCTTAAGCTGATTGTTCACATTGATTGCTGAGGGCAGGGGACTTGGGTGAAAAGTTTCAAGGAGGAGGATGCCAAGGACAGCAGAAAGCTGTTTGCAATCCAGGAGAAGAGCTATGAGAATAGCTTGGTGTGCTTTGGAAAGAGAAAACTGAAAATGATGACAAAGGCAGGGAACACGCCTGGGGCAGCACAGAAAGGACTCATGTCTGTAAGCTTAATTATTCAATAGCAACATCCTCTGAGTCATAAAAGTGCATCGGGGAAAGTTTCTTGTGTTGCATTTGTTGCATGCATGCAGCACTGTGGGAAGCATGATACAGAAACCCATCTAGCTCTCCCTGGGGACTGAAGTAGACTCAACCTAAAAGAGATTTTGCATCTTTAATTTCTATTATTCTGCAAATTACGTTACAGATGAACTTTAAACCCTTCTCATGTCCGTTGATCATAATTGATGAGATTTCAATTGTGCCTCCTTGAAGTTAAACATCTGAGAGACACTTTGCTTAATAGTTTGCCTTTCAGAGCACTGCATTAGCTCCCTTGTGCTCCAGTCCGCTTAATTTACAGCGAGTGCCCAAAAGTGGTGCAATTAAGGAAGGAATCTTGGGCTGAAGCTCTCGATGCTTTCAAATGACCAGCAGACCCTTCAGCGCTGGCTTGTTTTTACCATAGCTGGAACAACACTTTCCGTGACTCACTCTTAATTATTCTCTGGATTCACAAACAAATGTTTTTAACCTCTTTCTGTTGTATCTGAGAATAATTAAACTCTCATCTCTGTCTCTGAGCAGTCCTGGAAACATTGCTGTGATCTGCCGTTCCACCTCTGTGAGCTTGACTCCTTGGCTTTCTGGCCCCACCAGAGAAGCATATCCTCCTTCTGCATCTTTTCTAAATGAGCTGACATTTTTCACACTTTCTGTTTATTTTCTTGCCCTGGAAACAGTCCTATGCTTTGATCTATGCAAAAAAGATGTCTTTTCCAGAGTGGTTGCTGGGCTTTTCCTGTTTCCTGTCAAGTGGCCAACCGCAGGCCACGTGGAGAAGATGCTAGCTTCCTTTTCTTCTTCCCAGTATCAGTAAGCCAGCTGCAGACCATCTCAGCAGCTCTGCACCCTGCACAGGTGTTTCTTCAGGCAGGAGGATAGAGGGAAGAAACAGAGATGGTGCGGAATCAACCCTCTCCACCCTTTGCATTCCTACATCTTTGCGAGCTTTCCATCAGGAGTAATGTTTGACCCTTGGGAAAGCAGAGCAACCTTTTGTTTGCCATTCCTGATGATAAGAAAATCAGCAGACACGCTGCTGTGATGAGTCGCCCGCCATGAAACGGTCACATGCCAAACACCGCCCCATCCCAGTGCTCCCCAGGGAGAGTTTGTGCCCAGTCTCAGTTTCTGAAGTCCTCAAAAGCCTGCTTTATCCTAGAGAACCACTTCCTGTTGTGTCTGTTCCTGTATTTGTACTAAGTAGGTGGAAACACTGGCAGCAGTTATGGGAAGGGTAGGGCTTGGGGAAGGATGTACGTATTTATCGAGATCACCTTCCCAGCCATGGCTGGATGTTCTACTTAAGACCCTCTTCAGTGCTCAGTGTCAAGTGGAAAATAAGCAGGACTCACTGCTTCCATGAACAGAGATGAATTTTCCAAACCAAAAAATAATATCTGATGAAAGAATAAGTGTCATCTGTCAAGACAGGGCATTTAAGGAGATCTCAAGTTGATTTTTCTTCTCCAGATGTTGCTCCAGCAGGAAATCCACCCAAAGGGTCTCATCGGTCCTGTCCAGAGCCTGACCTTAATGTCTACCATGAGAGAGTGGGAGATTGCAGCTGTTTGCTGAGAGTGATACAGAGGAAGGGGACATTGTAGCTGTTCCTGTGCTCTCTTCACTGGGTTTGTGTGTATGGGAATAAGGAGAGATGCTTTTGGGGCTAGAGGTCTGCCAGGCTGGGAGAAATGGTGTAGGGAGGGCTGAGACAGGGCAAGGTTGCTAATGCTCTTATAAAAAAAGGGCCATGGGGATCCAGGAGAAAGATGCAACTGCTGATGTTGAGAGGTGGCTTTTTTTTTTCCCCATAGATCCAGGAGTTTTCAGCATGTTGTAGAGAAGCGTTTCTGTTCCCTGGGAAAACAGGATAGCTACATACCCAGCAGGTGGCTTCACTTCTCAGCACACTCAGCTTCTCCTGCTCCATAGGAAGCTGTTTCCCAGGAGCCGCATATGGGCATGGACTGGTTCATGAGCCTATTCAGATACTGCTTGTTTCTGTGGCTTGGTGATTTTGCAGTCTGCTTCTTAGGAAGAGGAAGGAGACAAAAGCCCTGTGACTGCTGAAGGCTTGAGACAGATTCATGCTTATGAGCAGTCATCCATGTGGATTTGGCAGCCAGAGCTCAGAGGCTTGTGGGCTGCCTGAGTGCCATCCCTGCTACTTTGCCAACCTGCTGCCACATGCATAGACTGACTGAGGGGCTCAGGAATCTCTCCACATAGCTGAGAAAGAGGAGAAGAGGGACAGGAGAGTGACCCAAGTCATTATGTCCTTCAGCACGGGCACCTCGAATTGCCCAGTCCAGATTTGCTCAGTGTGTGTTGGAGGAGGGCAAGATCCTTCTTTGTCAAAAGAAGCATTGCAAATCTCAAAATGGAAGAAGCCTAAGAGCATGCTGGATATGGATACGACCCTACATGTAGCCCAGCAAGGGCTTTGCTTATGGTTCACAACTCTCCTGCGTGCTTTTGGAGCACTTACAACAGCCAGCTTGCAGCCCTGCCCCTTCCCAGGAGTATGCAGCTCCAAGGAGAAAAATAACTAACTTCTTGGAAAAGAATACAGCAAGCAAAAAATGTGAGTCAAGACAGATTTGCAAGGGAAAAGGAAAGGTGGTATGAAGAATAACAACAAAACACTGATTGATACTACAGAGAAGTTTCAGGGAGGTGAAAGGTTTGCAAAAATGCCAGCTTGGGAAGTATTAGAGAGACAGGTCTATCTGTGGAATACGAGAGCCAGATGTATACCTCTTCTGCCTGAAATCATCTAGGCAAAGCCAAAGGGGGTAGCCACAAAATGCACAGCTCAGAAAGTGGCTGGGTAACATCAGGAACCAATTGAGGTCTTGGGCATGGGTGGACTGGAGGTGCCAAGCCTGCTCACAGATACTGCTCGGATGGGTGTCATGTCAAGAATGATTCAAGCCACCCACAGCTCCTGCCCGCTTAGACCTTGGCTTCCCGTGCTGCCTGCAAGAAGCAGTCACGTCTCCTTGTGTAGGCATCTAGAGTACACAGCAAAGCAAAACCAGCTGAAGATGAAGTAAAGATAATTCCAAAAAAAAGATTGGATGTATTAAGCAAGAATAGCATGTCCTCCAGATTGTTGAAAGAGGAAAAGAAGCAACAGTGGTGACCTTTTATAAGTCATGGAAAACGAAGGAGATAGCCGGGTTCTTGGGAAAGAGGTCAGGAAATGGAAGGCAGAGCAATGGAAATTTCTACCTGGCAACACTGACTTTGGTCCCAAATACAGCAAAGGAAAAGGCAGGACGTGACATAAATCTCTGACTGTCTAAAGGATGAAAGAATAATGAATGTTTATCCACAGGGCTATAAAAAACATGAAGATGGAGAGATTTTTTATCAGTCTATGAAATGAGTGGTTGTGAGAATACAGTGGAGGCAATATTTCGTCTCATTTGTGAAGAATTTGATGCACTGTCTCAACACAGCACTTTTCTAAAATTAATTTGGCTTGAATTTAAACATCACGCACGCTGAACATCGCAATTTAAAGGTCCTCTCAGATGGCCATATGATATCTTCCTCCTGGATAAAGTGGAAGTGTTAATGACCCCATCCCTCTGTTGAAGCCTTCTTTCTGCAGACACAAAACCGCTGCATTCATCTGCCTCCGCCAACCACAGTGCAGATAAGACTCAGCAAAACACCGCATCCTCCAGGACGGAGGCGGGGAAGTGAGAAAGCCAGCAAGTGAGTCATCAAGCCTTACGGGCAAAATCTGCCTGGTATTTGTGGTGTGCAAGAGAATAGCCATGCGAGGGGCTTTAAGCTCACACTGGTCCTGCAGGGCCACTTGACTCTGTCCAGGGATCACTGTGTGTCATCATTCATCATCAAGAACTTAAAGTCTACTCTAACCCCCAGTACGTCCTTGTCTCCCTCTCTTCTTCTGCAGTGTGGTAGTTCCAGGAGCCATCTCTGCTGGCTTTCTATCACTGAAGTCTTCTGAGAGGAGAGAGCATTGGTTTGTGGCTGAAATCCTAAGCATGTAAATGTAGGCCATGATGCAAGAGAAACTGGCTTTCCAACTGTGCATGGCAAGAATGCCCCCTCATTAAGGGATCAAAGTGCTATCCATCGAGACCGCCTCTTGCAACATGCTGAAGACCTGATTATGGTCATTTTTCTCCCTGCTTCTACTGCATGCCTGAGAAAGGGACACGGTAATTAAAGTTTGAATCTCATTAAATCTCAGAAAGTGCTTGGCTTTCTGAGAATCCAATTATCACAAATGCTATGTAACGCCAGTCAGGGCACAGTTTGTTTTTGGAGTTTGAAATTATTCTTGTTAAACATACAAATATGGTATGAAATCAAAATTTGTAGAGTATGTTGAAAATCCAAAGAAGGTGCAGCTAAAAAAAAAAATCAATTTAAGGGCAGAAAAAAATACCTTGGAGAGGGAAGGAAATGCTGCAAGAGCTTCACTCACCAGTAAGAGAAGGGACAGAGCAGGGAAGCCTGAGCAGCAGGAATTACCCTCATTGAGCCCAAGGGCTTCCAAGGATACCGTGCCTGGGTCTGGATGAGCACCCCATCAAGATAACAAGCTCTAGCTCCTGGATGGTGACCTGAGGCATAAGGCCAGATGAGCAATGAACTGTCATGGCTTAACCAAAGGAGTGGCCAAGCTCTGGAACATGCTGCCTAAGAGGGTGGTTGAGTCCCTGGAGGCATTCAGGAATGTTTAGATGTTGTACTAAGGGACATGGTGTAATGAGGAAATGGTGGTGGTGGGTGGATGGTTGGACTAGATGATCTAGGAGCTCTTTTCCAACCTGAAAGATTCCATGACTCTATAAACTATGCCCCAGCTGTTCTGGCTTGCTCTGTGGTCACTTGGGTTTGACAGGTGAAAAGTCCTTGAGTTAATATGCACTTGGATCTGTACATATCCATGGCACTGGACATTACGTAAAGCCAGCAGTGGGAGGTGAAGCTGCTCTTCCTCTTGCTCTTCAAACATGGAATCAGAGAATATTCTGAGTTGGAATGGACCTACAGGGATCATTGAGTCCAACTCCTAGCTCCACAGAGGACCATCCAAAGTTCATAGAATCAGGGAACAGCCTGGGTTGAAAAGGACCACAATGATCATCTGATTTCAAACCCCCTACTGTGTGCAGGGTCACCAACCACCAGACCAGGCTGCCCAGAGCCACATCCAGCCTGGCCTTGAATGCCTGCAGGGATGGGGCATCCACAACCTCCTTGGGCAACCTGTTCCAGTGCATCACCACCTTCTGGGTGAAAAACTTCCTCCTAATATCTAACCTGAACCTCTCCTGTTTTATTTTAAAACCATTCCCCCTTGTCCTATCACTATCCACCCTTGTCAACAGTCATTCTAAACAAACAAAAACAAGTTTAAACAAGTTCAAACCTTATGTCTGAAAGCATCATCCATATGTTTCTTGAACCCCAGCATCTTGGTGCCATGACCATCACCCTGGGGATCCTGTTCCATGCCTACCTCCCTCTAGTGAAGAACCTTTTCTTAACTCCCAGCCTGACCTTCCCCTGATGCAACTCCATGCTGTTTCCTCAGGCTTTGTCTCTTTTACTGGAAAGCAGAGCTCAGCTCCTGACCCTTCACTAACTCTGAGTACCTGTAGGCTGCCACAAGGTCTCCCTTCAGCTTCCTCTTCAGTGTAGGAACCCTACAAATATACATGGTTGGAAGCAGAAGCCTGCCACATGGAAAGGAAATTCCTCTTTCTAACAAGCAGCTCGCCGTGGAGAGGGAAGAATTGGGTTCTCCATCCCTTGCTATTTCCACATCCTTACTGAAGTCTTCCTGAGCAACACAGACCACTTGTTTCAGCCCACTTCCAAATGCTGAGTTGCAGTGTATACAGAGCCCATCCAAAATATCTTCCCTTTTGCCATTGCCCCCAGGTTGGCCCCAAGATGTGACCTCCAAGTTATGGGACATGGATGTTAGGAAGGAATTCTTTACTCAGAGGCTGGTGATGTACTGGAATAGGCTGCCCAGAGAAGCTGTGGATGCTCATCCCTGGTAGTGTTCAAGGTTTGATGTAGTGGGTGGTAACTGCCCACAGCAGAGAGGTTGAAACAAAATGATCTCAAAAGGTCCTTTCCAACCCAAGTCGTTCTATGAGGGCAGAGTGGGTGATCTGAGACAGTCAGCATGGTTTCACCAAGAGAAGGTCACACCCGATCAGTCTGGTGGCCTCCTATGATGAAGTGACAGAATCAATAGACAAAGGGAAGGCAACTGATGTTACCCACCTGGACTTGTCCAAGGCCTTTGACATGGTTCTTCACAATATCCTTCTGTCTAAATTGGAGAGAGACGGATTTGAAGGGTGGGCTGTTTGATGGATAAGGAATTGGATGGAAGGTCATAATCAGAGACCTGTGGTCAATGGCTCTATGTCCAGATGGAAGCCTGTAATGAATGGTGCCCCTCAGGGGTCCTTCTTGGGATAAATACTCTTTAACATCTTTATCAATGACGTGGATGGTGGGATTGAATGCGCCCTCAGCAAGTTTGCTGATGACACCAAGCTGAGCAGTTGATATAGCAGGAAGAGATGCCATCCAGTGAGATCTTGATAAACTCTGAATGTGAGTCTTTGTGAAACTAATGAGGTTTAACAAAGCATAGTGCAAGGTTTTGCAGTTGGGTCAAAGTAATCCCAGATATGTATACAAACTGGGAGAAAAACTCCTTGAGATTACCCCTGCTGTGAAGGGCTTAGGGGTCCTGGTGGATGAAATAATGAACATGAGCCAGCAGTGTGTGCTTGCAGCCTGGAAGGCCAGTGGTATCCTGGGTTCTATCAGAAGAGAGGTGGCCAGCAGGGACAGGGAGGTGATTGTCCCACTCTTTTCTGCCCACATGAGGCTCCAGCTTGAGTATTGTGTCCAGATCTGGACTCTCCAACACAGGAAGGATGTGGAGCTGTTGGAGAGTGTTGGAGAGTTGTTGGAGTGTTGGAGAGTCTTGTTCAGCCTGCAAAAGAGAAGGCTGTAGGAAAATTGTGGCCTTCCAAAATGTAAACGGAGTTTACAACCATGAGGGAAATCAACTTTTTACATGAGTAGATAGCGACAGGACAAGGGGGAACAGTTTTAAACTGACGGAAGGGAGATTTAGATGTCAGGGAGAAGTTTTTTTACTGAGTGAATGATAAGATGCTGGAACAGGCTGCCCAGAGAGGCTGTGGATGCCCTGTCCCTGTAGGTGTTTAAGGCCAGGTTGGATTGGGCCCTGGGCAATCTGATCTAGTAGGTGATCTAGCGGCTTGCAACCCTGCCTGTGGCAGTGGGGTTGGAACATGATGATCGTTGAGATCCCACTCAACCCAAGCCATTCTGTGACTCTGTGATTCTATGATTCTGTGATATGATTGTCCATCACCAGGGCTGGTGGTGGCTCTCGATGCCTGGCTTTGCTGCACTGCTCAGCTGCTGGCTTGCCAAGGCACGAGGCACTCAGCTGTTCATTGCCTCAGTTTTCTCAGCTGTAAATGCATATTAAAATAATAACCTCATTTGTTAGGGTGCTGACAGCCTCCAGCAGTGATAGTGAAGAGTTCTGCCAACCTGGGTTAAAAGGTGCTAGTTAAGTGCAAAGTACTATTATGCTTTTTGTGGCACAGTGTGTCTGCCATACATTACACTTATGTAACATTACTTAGCACTTAGTCGGCACTTCACATCTTTAACTAATTAATGCAGAATCGAGCCATTTACCAGCATGAACAGAAAAACATCCTGTAATGACTGATCATGAAGCTCTGGACTGATTTCCAGACTCCTCCATGAGTGAGAATTGCAGAAGATACAAAATAAGTTTTTGAAAAAGAAAGGCCAAACAAACAAACAGATGCTTTAAAAGAGAGAAAAATTGAACTGTGTGACAGTGAAGGACTTGTAGAGAAAAATAACACACTGCATTTTCTCATAGAAGCAACCAGCCAGAGCTCAGCCTGCAGCATCTCCAAAGCACGTTTAAAATTTACCTCCTCCTCCTTTTTGCAATTAAACACATATTCTTATTCACCTCAACTTATAAAATAAATAATGACAATTTTTAGTGCTAGCAATTAAAAGCAATGCTGTTTACATTTTAATTAGCTCTTTCAGTGTAACTATCTCAGCTTCTTTCAATCAGAAATGGATGTATTTAGAAACAAGGCAGCTCCTAAATGCTCTCTGCTTTTCTGTAAACAGTAGCCCTGCTCTGCTTTCAGATTCTCAGGGTGGAAGGAGTGGAGAGGCAATCTGCTGGATGGAAAACTCTGCACAGCTTTTCTTCCCAGTGGTGATTCTCTGTGGGAGTACAGAAAAGGAAGTTTATTTTGGAAGTGAGAAAAATAAAGAGAGGTTTTGTTCCAGGAGAACACAAAGATAAGTAGCATCTGTGCAGCTGGAAGTGCGGTGTGTGGCTGGGAGGACCATTTTACAGCTGCAAAATGCCAGGTACGTTTCCACCTCCTGGTAAAGCTTCAGAAAGCATTGAAGTGCTACCAAGGCAGTCCCCAAGATGCATTTCCACCCACCTTAGGTTTGTGTTGCAAAATCACCGATCATTTTCCTGCTCAGTGCCATCTGTGGGCCTTGATTCAGTATCGTGCAAGTCAGTGAAAATTTACCAGCAGTTTCAGTAGAAATAGTCACAGCTATGAGAATACCAGTGCTGTACATCAGGTTCTCTACGCATCAAACGTGCTCGGTCTGAACCCACTTCGACAATTCACTCCGTTGTACACAGCACATCTGCATCTCAGATGCAAACCTCTTGGAGGAGAGACAGATGTCAAAACACCACTCAGATAGCTTTTGCTGTGAAGTAATTCTTCCCAAATAAACATCAACTGTGAACATGTTGCTGAACGGTGCTAAAAAGAGGCAGGATCAACAGGTGCACACGGTGTGGTTTTAGCAATCTTCTGCTTTGTGCCCTCATGCCGCTAAGGGAAGAGGTGGCATTATTTGTGACTCACAGATAAACTCAGTGACTTGCCCAGGGCAGCAGGGGAAAGTCTTTGGAGATAGAATGAAAACGCAGTGCTTTTCTGGGGAATGTTCTGCCTAAATATTTTCTTTTTCCCAGCTATTGTCTGGGTCATAGAACCCTGGATTTCTTTGAGTTGGAAGGGACATTTAAAGGTCATCTGTTCCAGCTCCCCTGTGATGAACAGGAACATCCACAGCTAGATAGGTTGCTTAGATCCTGATCCAGCCTTATCTTGAAAGTCTCCAGGGATGAGGCATCAACCACATCTCTGGGCAACCTGTTCCAGTGCCTCACCCTTATTGTAAAACACTTCATCCTTATGTCCAATCTAAATCTGGCTTACTGGGGTGCATTAAAAAGAGCGTGGCCAGCAGGTCAAAGGAGGTGATCCTCCCCCTCTACTCTGCCCTGGTAAGACCTCATCTGGAGTACTGC